AGAGCTGGGGCAGGGGCAGCGGGTCCCAGGGGACACTGGGACGGGAGAGCAAGACGGTGCCAAGGGGGCGGCGGGGAACAGCGTCCCCGCCCCACCCCAACGCCCCAGCTGACCCCTGCGCCCCTGCCCACACAGCTCCTCACCGTGCCTGTGAGGAGTTCCAGGCCTGTGCAGGCGGAGGCCGTGGCCGAGGGGGCGGCCGGGAAGGCGGCCTGCGCGCCCACGATGAAGGCCAGCAGCGGCAGCAGCAGGAGGGCGTTGAAGACCAGCAGGGTCTTGAGGAAGAGGAAGTAGGAGAGCACGCTGGAGCCGAACTGGCCCCCGATGCGCTTCAGGGCATAGCGCCACGGCATCAGGGCGTGCAGACGCGAGAGCAGCGCCACCCCCAGGCTGTGCAGGGCCTGAGGGGACAGGGACAGGCAGGGAGGCTCTGAGGGTGAGGCCCCAGGCACCCAGTGTCTGAGAGGGCAGGGACGATGGGCGGACCATTCATGACCCCAGAGCAGGGCTGGGGGCAGGGGACCCCCAAAGCAAGGCGGCAGCAGGAGGAAGGGCCCTCCCCTCCGCCCAGGCACCCCGGCCTCGTTGCAGACAAGCGGCTCCTACCAGGATGCAGGCGTATCTGAGCCGGCTGCAGCAGGAGAAGCCGCCACCGTGGCCCTGTTGGCCCCTCCGTCTCCCTCTGGGGGTCCGGCTCTTCTCCCTGGGGTCAGAGGAGCCGTAGGTGCCTGGACCGAGGAGAGGTCTGGCTCCCTCCTGGGGACCACCCACCGCAGGCTCAGGGCCCTTCTCCCCAAACACCCAGACCAGCCAAGGAAGCAGGTCTCGGGGCTGCACGAGCCGGGTGGGCGCTCACCGCAGACAGCGTTTCTCTGCCAGGCTCAAGGGCATGCCCCGGAGCATGTGGTCCCGCTGGGCCACCGACAGGCCCTGAAGCTCCTTCACCAGGAGGCTCTGCTTCTCTGCCGGAGGAAGGCGGCGGTCCCGTTGATCCCCCGCATCCCTCCCTCCTGCCCGCGGCCGGGACCCCGGACAGGCCTGTCTGTCCCCTGTGACACCATCCTGACACGCACCCCTCTGCCCACCCTGCTGCCAGGTCCAGCCGGGCCCGAGCGGTTCCTCCCTCTGCTGTACAGTCGAAGCCCGACCCTGGGCTGGCCTGGCTGCCTGACACACCGGTCTCCCAACAGTCCCCTTGCTCTCTCCCCTCTCCCCCCGAGAGCTCCGAAGCCCCCTCCCATTTTTACCAAGCCCCCAGCATCCTGAGGCTCAGCCCAGCTCTACCAGCTCCCATCAGACTGCAGCCATGCCAGTCCCTGGGGGCCGGGGAGGGCAAGGCCCGAGCCGGGGGCTCACCACTCCTATGCTGGGCTGCCAGCACCCACCCATTTCTCTGGAGGCCCAACCAGGGCACCCTGAGACCTCAGCATAGAGTCTGAGACCCAAGGGTCCCCCCTGACCTAACAGGGCAAGCCATCATGACAGCAGGCAGAGAGCAGGGGCGGGGCAGGCACCAGACCAGGCAGCGAAGTGGTCAGCGCCGCCTCCTGGTGACCCCAGGCCTTGAAATGGGGACCACTGGCTCCTTCCACCCTCACAACCAGCCAGAGACGGGGGTTCCTTGAATCTCAGTTTTACAGATAGGAAATAACACTCGGAAAGCTGAGACAGAGTGAACGGTGAAGTGGGGGAGCCCAGGCCACCATCATCCACCAGCTGGGGGCAGAAAAGGTGTCCAAGGGCTGGAGAGGGCAGAGCAGAAGAAGGACCAGGTGGGAAGAATGTGTCAGGGACCACCCAGATCTCCTCAGCCTCTGAACGCTGGAGATCACCTGGTCAGAGCCCAGCTGGCGAGAACAGTCCCTGCTCCCTCCTGCGATGGCTCTCCCCTGTGCCCCAGCGCTCCATACCAGCCTCCAAACTGCTCAGAAGAGCCAGGCAAGCTCCCACCTCAGGTCCTTTGCACATGCCCCCTCTGCCTCATGTCACTTCCTCCGGGAAGTCGCCCCAGATCCCGCTACACTAGGCTGGTTCCCAGGATGCTCTCCCATAGTACATCTCTCTTTAGTTGCCCTTATCTGAGCTTTAGCCACCCCCATATCCGCTTTTTTGGCTCATGTCTGTCTCACAGGGTGGACGGTAAGCTGCCTGTCTCCACCAGCACATCCCCAAAGCCTGGCCCAGCAGCCACCGCCTTCCAAGCCCTCGATGGACGTTTGTGAAGGTGCAGAATAAGGCCCACGGGGGTTCCCTGTCCCCACGGGACGCTGAAGGGGGGCCTCGTAGCTGGGGGAGCCCTCAGGCAGTCTCCTGGGGCCGGGGGATCCTGGCTGTGCTGTTCCCCCGCCCCCACCCAGCCAGCCTGACCTCCTCCCACCTCCCCCCAGGCTGGTGTCACCCCAGGGGCTCTGGCCCCCACGGACTCACCCTCCTCCCCCCGCGCCATGGGGTCCAGCTCCAGGTCATACAGGCGCAGGCTGGGCCGGGCCGAGCGCACCATGTCCCCAAGCAGGGGCCGGCTGCCCCTGCGCCGCAGCTGCACGGTACGGTTGTAGTACTGGGAGATGATGGCGCCTCGGCTGCGGCCTGCAGGAGCGGCCGGGCAGGTCAGGGCCAGGCCAGGCCTCCTCCCTCAGTAGCTCTGGCGCCAGGCCTCCCTGTCCCTCCCCGCTTCCCAGGATCCACGAAAATCCCTTTATCAGAGACTTCAGGCATCCCTGGGTTCCCAGAGTCTATTTTTACCCCGTGACAACTCTCGAGTCATTTTTAGATCCCAGAGAGGGCTGCGTGGGGCTGGGCTGGGCTGGGCTGGGCCGGGCCTCCCTTTGGGCAGCAGCCGGGGGTGGGCCAGGAGCCCCACTGGGCCTGGCTCCTAGGCCCAGCCCAGGGGAAGAGGTCAACACGGGCCAAGGGTCCCACTCACCAATGGTGCGGCTGGGCATGCTGGCCAAGATGCGCAGCGTGGCCGTGCTGTGGGCGGGGACACCCTCAGGCTGCCGGAGGGTCTGGTGGTCACTGCCTGCGGTGGTCAAGAGATGTGAGCTGAGGGCTATCCCACCCCACCTCTGCCTCGGCCTGCAGACTGCTGGAAGGGCCATCCTGCCCTGCTGGGAAGGCCAAGTGCCCGTCCACACAGCCCGGCATCCGGGCCTGGCTCACCTGAGGCCCCCGGCTCCCTCGGCTGCAGCTCCAGCCCCTCCTGGGCCGCCCGCTGGCTCTGCTCTTGGATGAGCTGGTGGAAGGAGTCATGCACTTCGCTCTCGTCGTAGGGGCTTGGCTCCTGGCTGCTGGGAGGCATCAGGGCAGCAAATCTCTTATCTTGAGACCCTGGCTCAGGGGCCCTCCCTGGATCCCTCTGACACAGCCCGGCCCCCAGCCCCGGAGTGCTTACCCCTGGTTCCCTGGGGTTTCGGGGACATCAAGTATGAAGGCCAGAGGCTGGGCCATGTCTGCAGCCCACACCCCGCCAGTCTGCAGACCTAGGGCAGCTCAGAGGCTGGGCACCACGTCCGAAGCTTTCTGCCGCCCATCTGACGAAACAGGGGGCGCTGAGCCAAAGCTGGCCTTCAATGGCTGGCACACGCCCAAACCACCCACTCTCACGGGGCCGTAGGAGGTGCCACTCACAGCCCAGGCTGCCCCACCCTGCCCACCAACACCAGCTACACATGTGGTCAGGTGCATGGCCCCAAATAAGCCTCATGCCAGAGTGGCCTGAAGAGGGAGCCCCCTCCACTTCCCTGAGGGAGGGGAGAAGGAGCCGGGAAGGAAGGGTGTGGGGTCTGCAGTTCCCCATCTGTTTCCTCAGCGTGGCCTGTCCCTGGGAAATGGGGAAGGGCGGGGTGCCTGTGGCCACAGTCCCTTTCAGGCCCTCTGTTCCCAGGGTTCTGGCCCACAATCACCTCCCTCTTAGAGAGAAAGGTCAGGGCAGCTCGGAGGCCTCCCTGTGCCCGCCCTGTAACCCCGAAGCACTTCCTCTAGTGGGAAATCAGCGCCGGGAGCCCTCACCCCAGGCCCAGGCGGAAGCAGCAGACAGGACGCCCCTCACACACACCCAGCAATCACTCCTGTTACCCCTAACCATGCTACCCCCGCAGGGGCCCTCCCAACCTCCCGTTCTCATGAGACAGCCTCCCCCACATTCCGTCAGCCCAGGGCAGCCAGCTGGGGAGGGCCATCCGCCTCAAACAGTCCCCCTTTGTCCTGGCCCTGCCGTCACCCGGCACAACTGGAACCAGAGCGGCCCTGTCTGGAGCTCTGCCCTCTGGTCTATTCACCCCGAGTGGGAGTGGGGTGGGCACAAGCTCCCAACCACAGAGCCACTCCTACAGGACTTCCTGTCCTCGGGTCTTCCTCACTGTCGCCCCCAGCGAACTCAGGGCTGGAGAAAGTCGCTGGGTTCAAGGGCACTTCCTCCGGCGATGTCGGGTGCCGGGACAGAGCAGGTCCCTCCAGTGCATCACACCCAGTGCTGGACAGTGCCCTCACTCAGAGTCCAGGACGCCCCACCTGGAGTCCAGGTCCCGGCCCCTCCCTCCAGCAAGGTCACAAGGCGTAGAGCCCACAGCTGAGGGACCCCAGGCCAGCCTCAAACAGGAAAGCAGCGGAGGAGGGGCTGAGGGCGTCCGCCATCCGGTCCCCAGAGCTCCGGACAGGTCTTCCCAAGCTCGGGCTGGCGGGCTCCCGACACACCTGTTCTCCAAGAAGGAGGAGTAGGGCTGGGAGGGGCTCAAGGCTGTCCCCCGAGGTGGTGGGGACTCACCCGGGCACAGCAAGGGCTGGAGCCTGGCGGGGACCCAGAGCCCCCCGCACGCGCCCCAGGCTGGGGCAGGTTCAGCAGAGTTTCCGGGGCGCACCATTCCTGAGCCCTGAGCCAGGTGGGGAGGGCCAGGGCGGGGCCCTTGTCCAGGAATCCCTCCTGCCCGCCCGCAGCGAGTCTTCCGGGAGCCGCCGGTACCAGGAAGAGCCGCAACCCGGCCTCGGAGCCCGGTCGCCGCGGCACCTCCGAAGCCCTCGACGCCCCC